ATCGACTCACACCCCAGTCCCACGACGCAAGGCAATATGATCTTCGGGTCGACAGCAGCCTATTTCTTCCAAAGCCATTCGCAAAAAACGTTCTGCCTGTTCATCCCCAATCCCAGGATGCAAGGAAAGATCAACCTCAAGTTCAAGGTCGACGGCACCCGTCTCTCCGGCCCGCTTCCCCCACACAACATCACCGTCTTCGACTCGCGCTCGGGCGGCGCGATGGGTCTCCCGATCTTCGGGCTCAACGGCAAGTGGACCTCCACCCCCACGGCTTCACAGGTGTCGCTGCGCACGTGGATCATGGACGCGGGGAATAAGTTTCCGCCGGGGTCGACGGTTTCGTATTACGATATGGTGAAGCAGGTTGATTTGAGCCCGCGGAGCTTCTTTGGGTCTGTGACAACGGAAAGGTACAAGTGGGGTGCGCTGCGGGGAACTTTCCAACGTGGCGCTGTGAACATGATGGTACCTGTGCCCATGTGCTAAGCTTGGTGGTGGAGGTCTTAGGCGAAACACTTCCTAGATGCAACATAGCTGTTTTTCCTAGTTCCTAGTTGTTTTTCCTGGTCAAGCACATTGCTTGGTATCTAACATCATGTAATAAATATTTGCATGGGGAGCCTACTATGGTGAGCATTTCATCCTAGTGACTCATTTTAGTTGACAAGATTTATAACATTCAAAGTTTCATTTGTTATGACAAAGGGGACCGAGAATAGTGGTGACTTGAAATGGCTGCTGAAATTATGAACACATCACGATATACAGAGCTAGTAGGTATCACCTTGGAACAGTGTGCTTAGATTTGTCTTTCAGGATGGTGCTGTGCAATGAATGATGGAACCACCTTAAAGCGTGTGTCAGTAGCGCGTATGACTGCGGGTGTTTTGTTTGGCTTCAGCGGGTGAGTTTGTCAAGTCAGCAGAGTACGACTTTGATCACCGTGATCACCGTCAGTTTTTATCGCACAGTACGGTGGTGGACTTTCGCCCTGGTCGACCGACTTTCGCCAGCGGGTTTCGCTTCGTCATGTGTGCTGTGCCGACAAACGCTTCTGTCCCCTACCCACCCACCGCACTCAACCACCCACGGGAAATGATCAAAGAGGGGCCGTACAGTGCCAGAGAGGTGATCGACCAGGGGCCGAGAGGGCCGAAACTGACCAAACCGCTGGGCGAGGGGGAATTGACAGAGAGGTTTGTTACGGCCTGCATTTTCGCTCACACCTCAATATTCTTAGGATATCGTAAATGAATCATTTTTTCATCCGGTAGCGTCGTTTAGCGAGCCAGGTAGCGCTACCGGCGGTATCGACGCTACCGGGAAATGTTATGGCAGCCTAAAAAAACTAAAGCCAATAGAGAACCTGGACGCATTTCCGGGATGGATCAACCCTAAACACGGGAACCCGCCTGGTGTTTAGGGTTGATGCCTCCCGAGTCGCATCCATTTCCGAACAGGTTTTATTATTATGTCAGCTAAAGTGATGTATTTTTTTAGAAAACGATTACGCATTTCATTTCCCAAAAATATAAACATGACGAAACCTAGTTCCAGAGGAATGCGACGCAAGCTTCGTGTTAGGCGGCGATCATAACCATGAAAACATCATTGAACCAAGAAAATTGAGCGAAAAAAATAATTTATTTTTTATCTTGGCTCGGATTCTTGGCCCAGCCACTTTGGCAGCCCCGGGGGTATATCCGACGGTTGGGATCAACCTGGCCCTAATTCGCTCACCTCCCTGCTATTGTTCGGCCCTTATTTGATATTTTCCCAACACCCACACGCCAAAGATCGCAGAATACATCGCTGACCAGCGACGTGCGAACAGAGCTCCCAAACCTGGGAGCATCGCACACTGGGCTTCGCCATCGCGTCGCGTCGGTAATGATGGGCGCGAATTCATTTCAATTTTACTTGGGGGGAAGTCGAATTTCGTCAAATTCCTCCCACTACCCACTTGCGTTCCGTCCATCCCTCCCTCCACCACTTCCTCCATTTCCCCAACCGACATCCATCAACACGATTTTACCTGTGCACTAACAACCGACCGCCATTTTCTGGTTCAACACATCGCTTCTCATCTAGAACTTCCGCCGCCTCTTCCGCGCACCATGAATGAGCTTATAAGATAATATAACAGGCCGATCGAGTGTTTAGATATTTCGCCCAGAGCATCGCCCGTTTCTGGTTAAATTGCTTGCATTACGCTACTTCGTCCTCGTTACGATCACACTGAGAAGCTGCCGCTGATTCGCAGATGGCGTCTCTAGTCAATGGCACTTTTTCAGGTAACAGGAAAGGATCGGTTTTCGTACCGCGCTCCGTGACGCCAGTGCGAAGAGTTGTTGCAGTCGTCCTTACAGTCGGGAAAAGGAGTCACTGAATCCCGTCCGTGCAGTCGGGAAACGGAGTCATTGAATCACGTCACTTATCCAAATTCTCTGCTATGCTGTTATCAACAGGTTTGCTTCTTCTATTATTGCTCTTCGCCGCTACAGCTGCCGCTACAGCCGCCGCAGTCGGACCCATCAGAGGAGCCGTTCCACCCCCGGGCATTTTACAATGTATTTCACCTGCCCCCACACGCACGTTCGTTTAGGTCGACTGAAAACAACACACATCCATCTGCCCGCTCACGCAAAATGCCCATCTGCTTACTGCTTGACCAAACCTCGTATGCATTTAGAAGTTTTCGCGTATTTTCTTACATTTTCCCTCGTTTCCGTTTTGTCAGTCTCCCTTGCGCCCCACACACCCATGTCCTCGCACCACTGTTGGCACCGCTGTCACACTTCTCTGCGTCCGCCTTGAATGTCACACGCAAATATCGTACAACTTCTATTCTTATGCCATCCCATCTCATGTTACGCAACATCGCATCATAATAATCAACTTCCGTTACTGTCACACATCTCTGTTGCCGCGCTCGTCATTATCACACGCAGGTAGCTTGCGGGTGGACCTGAAGGACAAGGAAGTCATCAGCTCGTCCCTCGGCGGAGACCTCGGCGGCACTGGCGACCTCAACATCTACGTGTACAAGTAAGAGCACATGCTTCTCTATTATTGCCTGCAAGCGGGATATATACGTGATAACGATTTTTTTATAGAGTGACCTCGGCGGCACTGCTTCTCTATTATTGCCTGCAAGCGGGATATATACGTGATAACGTTTTTTTTTATAGAGTGACCTCGGCGGCACTGGCGACCTAAACATCTACGTGTACAAGTAAGAGCCCATTTTTTTTGTAGTAGTAGTGCCTGCAAGCGGGACATTCACGTGATAACAAATATGTTATCATGTGACCTCGGTGGCACTGGTGACCGAAACATCTACGTGTACAAGTAAGAAAGCATCTACAATCACTCCCCAAGTTCACTTCTTGAGCACATTCTTCTCAATCAATGTCTGCAAGGAGACATCTACCAATGAATGAAGTGTTGTTCTCACGTGGCCTAGGCAGCACTGGCAGCTTCAACAAGTAAGAACACAAGATTTGATTCGATTCAAAAATCACCTCAACATCGACCTCGACAAGTACAAACACATTCTTGATTGTGCCTGCTAGCGAGACATCTACTAGAGAGGAATCTACACATCCTTATCCACCCCACCCACCCGTTTTCCCAGCCTGAGCAAACAGGCATCCTCCCCGCCTTGTCGACCCTTCGGATCTCCATCATCCCGCATTGCTTTACCCCATGCCTTTTCCTGCATTACCTCCCTAAACACCTCTCTTTCTTCTCTCTGTTAATATCGGGATTCCCTATGGGCCTTTACCGGGGATCCGCAGGTATCAAGGCGGGTTGGACGTTCACATCAGTTACAACACGCACCAGCTCGCCCTCCCTATGCCGCCTCTCAACCAATCCATTAACCTCGGGACACGTGGCGCGAACGGCGATGTGGCGTGGAACATCGAGGGCACGTGGACGCAACGAAACGAGGATCAGTTGGAGCTGAAACGCATTTTCAAGCGTGCACCACAGGTCATGATCCCCGGTACAAGCACATCCGTTTACAAGATGGTTAAAATGATTGACCAAAATCCAGCAAATTACTATGCAACAATTGCTACAGACGTGTATCCCGAGGGAGCGATCCGCGGACAATTCTTGCGCAGATTCCCCGGGCCCAGATGCTAAAAAAAACTTTCTGCTAGTGGACTCCACTCGCACAGTGCATGTTCTTCATTGTATTTAGTAACTTCAAAGGTCAAGGCATCAAGGGCATGAATAACATGGGTGCGGATGCATTGTCAGGCTGAACGCATTCTGTAAAATGCATTCGTAGGTTGTCATCCAGTGGGTGGGTGGCGGTGACTGGGGGGGTTGAGTAGCTGTTGGGGACGGGTGGATGAGGGGGTGGTTGGGTGGGCGGTAATTGGGGGGTGGTGGGTAGATGGGGGTGGGTGGGTGAGTGGTTGGGTGTGTAGGGCTTGGACGTCAAGTCATGCTTTGATGCCCTTGGCACAGTATCAACATTGCTGGTATGGGTTGAGGTGAGTATTGAAACAAGATATGTCTTGGCTGAAACCGGACAAAGGCAAATGGTGTAGCCCTTTTCCGAGAGCACATTGGCTATGGTGATGGTGATGTTGAGAAGTGATGAGATATCACTAATTACCCAAATGGAACTCCAGAGATATCACTGAAGGCGATTACCCAAAGGGAAGCAGCAAACCGAAAGAATCGAGGCAAGGAGCAGAGGCAAGAGGACAAGTGGCAGGTGCGGGGAAGGGAAGATGAGTGGGTGAGCGGGACAGGAGAAAGAGGAGAGGGAATTGAGGAGAGCTTTGAGATGAGTGATTGGGTAGGGGCAGGGGGAACGACGGATGGTTAGGAGGGGGGGAGGAGGGGGTGGGGGAGGGTCTGAGCGGAGAGAAAATGGATGGGAACGAGGAGATGTAGGGTGAGCGGAGGGGGAATGTGGGTTGGTTGGGGGGAAGGGACTGGAGAGAGGGGATGGATGGGAAAAGGTAATGAGGAGTTTATAGGTGGGGTTGATGAGGGGTGAGCGGCGGAAAGGTGAAGGGAGGGCGGGGGGGATTGGGGATGATTAGGACGTGAGGATTGGGGAGGGGAGTGAAAAAGCTTAGCAGTGAAGGGGGGAGGGTGGGACTGGAGAGGAGGAAGATGATGGGTGAGTGAGGGGACGGTGGGAGGGGAGGGAAGGGAGATGAGGGGTGAGAGGGAGGTGGGAGAAGAGTGGGGGAGGGGGAGAGTGGTGTGGAGCTGAGGGTTGGGGGAGCAAGGAAACGAGACGAGATAAGCGGAGCACGCAGGGAAATGAGGGGAGAGGGAGGGGAGGGGGGAGTGGGGGATGGGGGAGCGAGTGAGACGAGGAACGAGAAGGGAAGGTGAGGGGAGAGCGCTGAAGATGACGGGAGAGCGTGGAAGATGAGGGGAGTGCGGGGGAGATGCGGGGGAGATGCGGGGGAGATGCGGGGGAGATGCGGGGGAGACGCGGGGAGAGCTTGGGGGATGCGGGGAGATCTTGCGGGATGCGGGATGCGTTACGTTTCTAGAGGGGAGGGAGGGGTACGAAAGTGCGAGGAGGGGAAAGGAGGAAAATTAGAGGAAAGATACCACTTCGCTTGTCATGGACAAAACGAGGCAGGGCCGAAGAGCAGGAGCCGAAGGCATTTGCAGCTGCAGCAGGAGGCTCAACACGTGCTCCATAAGGAGGAGGAACAGTAGGAGGTGAAGCAGGTGCAGCATGTCTGTTAGCGATGTTGGCGACTCGCTCTGCTGCAGGAGCAGGCTGATAGAGGTTTCCACGCCGGATCTCCCGGTACTGAGATGAAGCACAGAGATGTGTTTCTCTTGCTTCTTGAGCTGATCCTGCACGAACTGGAGAGTGGTCTGCAGGTCTTGAATGAAGCTGGAGGTGTCGTTTTCCTTAGGGATCAACTGCACCTCCTTGCTCAGCCTCTCAATCAAGGCATGAAGCTTAATAGAATCAGCCTCCAAGTTCTGGATGCGGCACTGCTGCTCCCTAATGAGAATATGCTGCTCCGTGAGTTGAGTCTGGAGCGTGACAACGATTTCCTCGGTCTCATTGGAGACACCCTCATCAGAGCCATCCTCATCCTCATTTTCGGCATCAGAGTCATGTTCAGCTTCACTTCCGTTGATCTCCATGTCAACCACAAAGTCCTCAAGCTTGAGATCAATGCCAGCAGCAGCAATAGCATTATCTCCCTCATTGCCAACAATAGGCACCTCCTTAATAGCATCCATTTCTTGACCAGAAGCCATGAAATAGGGTAAGGAGAGGAGATCTCAATAGATCGGAAAAATGATATTTAAGAAATTTGATCACTCTGATAAAATAATCCAATACAGAATCTCTTAAGATTAACTTGTTTGCAAAATTTCTATATCACCTCAATGATAGAGCAAGATGTACTCAAATGAGTAGAACTTCAACAAGTCCTTGTAGATCTGATGATACTCTTCCACCAAAGGTAGATTAGAGTATTCCACCAAATGATGGGCAAGATAAAAGAAAATCCTCTTCAAACTTCTTCCCAATGTTGATGAAGAAGATGAGCTCCTTATATATCTTGTAGCTCCAATAGTGGTTTGAATAAGTTGAAGATTGAAGATGGTAGATCTTGAAGATGCACGTGTAGATCTTGAAAATCTCATCAAATTCTTCAAAATCTTCACAGCTCCTTGGATGAACTCATAGATCCACAGTCTAGGATCCTTCAAAAAAATATTCCAAGCAGCAAATGGCCACACAAGGCCAAGGAAAAACCTTGCTCTAGATACCAATGTAATGCCAAGCCCCTTTATAATAGAGTTTACAATGGTTCTATAGATCCCAAGTACAATGATAAACTCTATCTATGCCTCTAACGAGATCTTGGGTTGCTGTAGAAGAGTCTTCTTGAAGCTCTTGAAAAGAAACACTTAAAAGAGTTGTGTAGGGAGTTGTGTGAGAGAGCTCAATGACTTAGGCAAAAAAATCTCATTTGCAATTGATTAGTTGGAGTGGGAGGTGAAGAATGAGCTTGCTAGCTCAAACCCCCTCAATACACCCCTTGGGGAACTCTCCCAACCATGGTTTCCATGGTGGGATGATTCCTAAGTTTGGAGCCTATGTGGCAAATAGTTGGGTTGGGAAAACCCAACATAGAACCATTTGTATGGTTGTGTTTTAGATAGAGTAGATTGTAACACTTAACTGGCAGTTTATGATTGGTTGGAATTCCAACCCAACCTTCTTCCTCCTCATATCGATTCCCATCAAAACACTTTCCGGCGATCGCCTTAGGAGATAGGAGTGCGTAGGGCAGTTATAGGTAATGCGTTACACTTGCGTTCGTATCATGCGTTTGCATGATAAGTCTCGAGCGATAAAAACTTGCGAATGTGCCTGCATTCTTTTCGTCCGACCCAAAATCACTCTCTATGAAACAAACATTACGAATGTAACTGCAAATCGGTGCATACTTTTGTACTGCAGATGAGCTATAAAATCCTCATGTCTTATCAGGTTAGATAAACGGCAATTACCACCACTGGCGCGAATCTGGAGAGATCAACTAACCGCACCTGACAAAAATCAGCAATAGTAACCGCACTAGAACGTGAAGCGGCAAACGATGAAGTAGGACTGAAGCGCGATCGAGACTATCTACGGTACTGAGATCTAACGAGTTGCGGAAACAAGATCAGAGACTTCATGTGATAATGACTACCGCTTTTGCATCCAAAAATCAGTAAGCGAGGGTAGCGAGCAGGGCTATCGCTTCTAGCGAGATGTACGGTGATGGCATAAATAATCCTCACCGCCTTAATGGATGAGAATAGGTATGGCAGGTGATAAATTGTGAGGTCGGGACTCCCAACTGTCGCTACAAGAGCAAATGCCCTTAATGCCCGAACATTATGGGTTGAGTTTGCCCCAGGTCCCCGATTTTAAGGGTTTGGTTTCGTGTCAGCCCGTCTGCCTAAATTGTTGTCCTCGGGATTCACCCGGATTTCAAGTATCAGTCTTGGGGCTAGCGCTAGCCCTTTCCCCTCCGAAGTGATTCTTCCCCTCACTTCCCCAATCCCTCCTCGCACCCCCCCCCCCCCCCCCCCCCCCCCCCCCCCCTCGCCCCGTGGTTGTTGTTGTTGGGTTGTTGTTGATAGATTGCAGTGGTGGTGTGTCAAAGACCTTGAAACATTCCGTGATGCCGTGGAAACATCATAGTGGTTTGCGCAATCCTTTCAGGATTACATTTGTATTTTCAGCTGCCCAGGCCATTCCCCTTGCGCCCCCTCTCCCCTCGCTGTCTCTTGCTCAGCCGCCGTCGTCGAGACTCTGCCGCATATCTTCATTGAATGTTCCTCCGCTGGCAATGTCATCTCGGCCCTCCGCACAGTCGCTGACCGTCACCTTGGACAAACTACCACCGTCGAGCACATCTTCTTCCTGATACACTCACGGGTGGGACAGTCCGCCCCATAGAGCCTATTAGTGGGAGCAGCAGTGAAGACGCTGTGGAATGCATGCTGTGCCCACAGACCACAACTCCTCCTCCTCGAGCTTTGAGATATTGCAGCTGATATTAGCCCAATTCCTTATCGCCTTCAAGATCTATATGTGGAGAACCAGCGCCAATCTACCAAGAAGCGACAACGCACATCCTCCAGCATCAAGCGAGCAGAGAAGCTCCGCTTCCTCCTCTTCGACAGAAGCGGTACACCCTCCATTCACCCCGACATCAGATTCTCATGGCTCCTGGGAAACCCGTTCCGACCTCCGTAGACAGCTACCGCATAGAGCGTCTCCCCAGTCTGCCGGCGGTTGTCATTTAGGAGAATGAAATGATGTGTGTTCCACGTGCTCCTTATATGATGCTGGCCATTTTGGCCATGTTTCAAGGTAGCTCTATGGTATTATTCCTTGTACATTGATTAATATCAATATATAACCTTAACCTTTAACCTTAACCTCTCTGTCTCTTGCCCTCCATTGAACGGGATTTGGATGTCAATGCATCCCCTTTTACACCTGCCATTGTAGGTGTGCTACTCCCAAGCCAAGTAAAGTGGATTTACCCTTTTTTCCTTCTACATATAAACATCACTAGTCTAACTGAAGTATCATGGTTGAACTCATCTGGTTTCTGCTGCAGTTGAAAGGTATTGGGAACAAAGTTCACAAAGCTTGGATTGCTGTTCAGGTGCTAAAATTAGAGCCCGCGAGCTGAGCGTCGCATTTGCGCGGAAAGATTTGACTACCGAACAAATGCGAAAAGTGTAGCCTTTTCTTGTGGTGATACGTACAATATGTGATGGTATGAGATGGTGCTGGTGTCAGAATTACTTTGCAGGAATGAATGAACTATGAATGAGTTGGGTACAAGTACTAACCCTAAAGTGTTGTACCCCTTGTAGGCTAAACCACTATAGCTTAGAGACAATACAAACATAGCAAACAAAACAGACGGTCACAAGACCAGTCAAGCAAGAGAACAAGTAGAGCACAGCTCACGGTGGATCACAAGGTCACCACGCATTCTGAGCACAAGTTAGCGGCCACAAGACCAGTTAACATGCAGAGTTATAAAAGAACAAGCAGTATAGTGATCACGCCATAGCAAGAGCAAGCATGCATATATATATGTATATATATCATAGCACAAGACAAGTCAAGCAACCAGCAGGTGAGGCAGAGTGGGCACAAGCCCAAGAGCAGTGTAGAAACGCTGATGATCACCAGCCCCAAGGGCCTTGGTGAAGACATCAGCAGTGTTGGCCCGAGAGGCCACGTAAGCAAGTCGCAGCTGACCACGCTGCTGCAGCTCACGCGCAAGGAAGTAGCGAAGAGCAATGTGCTTCGTCGTGTGCTCCAGTCTCTGCTCGCGACACAAGGCAAGCATTGCCTTGTTGTCAACGTACAGAACTGGAGGAGAACGAGGCCGCTCCCCCAAGTCAGTCAGCAGGTAGGTCAGCCAGCGTAGCTCCTGTGCAGCCATGGCCCCAGCGTAGATCTCAACCTCGCAGCTGGAGCCAAGCACAGAAGAAGAACGAGTGGACCTCCACAAGACAGAACCAGAGCCAAGACTGAAGGTGTAACCCTGTGACGAACGCTGAGTCGCCTGGTCGTCGGCCCAAGAAGCGTCGAAGTGTCCTATGAGGACCACTGAGCCCCGTCCTCCAAGCACGAGCCCATGCCAGATGTACTGCACAAGTAACGCAGTACCCTCTTCGTAGCATCAAAAGGCACCTTTCAGTGTCTACCAGGTGCCACGTAGCGAGCCAGGAGGCTGAGAGGGTACGCGAGGTCAGGTCGTGTGCACGTCATCAGGTACATGAGGCAACCCACAAGCTCTGGGTACGGACCACTCGGCTCTACGGACTCGTCCGAAGGTGGAGCTGAGAGCGAGTGACGGGTAGATAGAGGAGAGGGCTGTGGCGAGGACTACTGGAAGCGGAAGCGCTAGAGGACTTGGTGCACCATGTGTGACTGAGTCAAGGTGATGGTGCGCCGTGCTCTGTCCCGGGTGATCTGCAAGCCAAGATAGCTCCGCAGCTCACCCAGGTCAGTGCAGGTGTGTCTCTCGAACAGCTCCGCCTTCACTAGGGCCAGTGCCTCTTTGTCGGCAGTAGCAAAGACCAAGTCGTCGACATACACGAGAACGTAGAACGGCGGCAGGGTAATGTCGGTGCGGAGAAACAGTGACGGGTTAGCAGTCGAAGGAGCAAACCCAAGAGCCGCAAGTGTCGTCCTCAGTGTGTCGTGCCAGTCGCGAGGTGCTTGACAGAGGCCGTACACTGGTCGCCGTAGGCTCCACTGGGTACCCTCAGGAAACGACCCAGTGAAGCCAGGTGGACGGCGCAGCCAGATGGCCTCGTGCAGGCTACCCTGCAAGAAAGCTGTCGAGAAGTCGAAGGAGTGTAGCTCGTAGTCACGCTGAGCAGCAACGTCTAGCAACACCAGAAAAGTGGTCATCTTCGGGGTGGGGGAGAAGGTCTGAAAGAAGTCAACCCCCTCACGCTGACTGAAGCCTCGAGCAACGTACTGTGCCTTGAAGACAGGTGGAGAACCCAGCGGCCACTTCACCCTGAAGATCCACATGTCACTGACGATGTTCGCCCTAGGTGGGGGAACCTCGTCGCTGTAGGTGCCTGTGGACTTCTAGGAAGCCATCTCTGCGTCCATGGTTGTCTGCCACTGAGAGGAGTACTCACCCGAGATCGCCTCTCTGTAAGAGCGCGGGGTGGGGATGTCAAGTGCA